CTGGGTTGTTTAACCTTGTTCGGTGTGCATTGTGGTGTTTATGGTTTGGATTAGGTGGTCTGTGGTGTGGATTGTGGGGTTTTTGGGTTGGTTTAGGTAGTATCTGGTTTGTTTAACCTTGTTCGGTGTGCATTGTGGTGTTTATGGTTTGGATTAGGTGGTCTGTGGTGTGGATTGTGGGGTTTTTGGGTTGGTTTAGGTGGTATCTGGGTTGTATTCAACTGTATCTGTGTTGATCAAATATTATCAAAACCTGCAACTGTTCATATTTGTCTCATAGTTGTCATTGAAATCTAAAAGTTTATGACAGATAAAAAAAACACGGATAACAACAAGGAAACTAATCACTCATTGTTGCTTTTGTAACGCTTGTTGGCGGCCTGTTCATCAATTCTTTGCTTTCTAGCCCTCTCCAGCGCTACCTCAAGTCCACCTCTTGGCCTCTTCTTTGATTTCCATGGGTCTTTTCGAGCCTTGAATCCCTTCACATTGGCATATTTGTCATTTGTAGCTGAAGCAGCAGCGCTTTGTGAGGGTGATGTACTGGTGGTTCCATCTGTTGAAAAAGCAATATGCAAGATACTGGTGAACATAAGTAGGGATTAAGCAATTAGTGGATTGGATTAAGATGTTTATGGTTTGCATTAGATCATTAGTGGCTTGGATTAAGCAATTACTGGTGAATATAAGTAGGGATGCTAACAAGATGTGTGAAATTACCAGGTACTGTTTGCTGAGTTTCTTGAGTCTGAAGGCTTTGGAAAGCTAGTTTAGTGAGCTCTGCAATCTTCTCCTTAACCATTGAGAAGACCTTGTCATTCATTGAGACTTTTGTTGCTAGGATAACCATGCTAGCACACAGTTCTTGATACCTCCCTGCATAAGTATCTGTTGCAGCACATTCTGTTGTGTTTATTGTGAACTTCTCTCCAGATTTGGCATCTCTCGTCCATCGTGGCAGAATGTATTCCTTAGGGATAGTCAATTGCTCAATATCATCACCATTGAATCCAACCATCTCTATCTGCCTGATTACATGTCTGCACAACCAGCCTGAACTTTCAAACAAACGACATGAGCACTTGTATTTCTTCTCCTCTTTGTTCACTAACACGACTCTTTTGCCGAATCCTCCCAGTTTCTTCACTTCATAAGCTGTCATTCCATCTCTATCCATAGATTCATTCCGGAACACAAAAAAAGCAAGGCTTTCTGAATACTCCTCAAGGAAAGAACTGTAGATCTTAGTTGTGTATAATTTTGCGACTTGCTGAACAAGTGGGCTTCTGTCATACCTGTTGGAAGATGACATACAACATAAAATCATTCATAAAACATCTTGTCTACATTAATGATTTTATGGTATGTATTGTACTGTTTGTGGTGCGGATTGTGGGATTTATGGGTTATTTTAAGCCATGTGTGGTGTGGATTGTGGTGTTTATGGGTTGTATTAGGTGGTCTGTGGTGTGGATTGTAGGGTTTTTGGGTTGGTTTAGGTGGTATCTGGGTTGTTTAAGCTTTTGCGGTGTGCATTGTGGTGTTTATGGTTTGGATTAGGTTTTCTGTGGTGTGGATTGTAGGGTTTTTGGGTTGGTTTAGGTGGTATCTGGGTTGTATTCAACTGTTCTGTGGATGCATTCTACAGTATAAAAAGTTCAAATAAAGGAAGTAATACGTACATGTTGTTTGGGACTGTGTTTGCCATTTGATAATCCATGTCCATTTCGTCTGATCTTTTCCGTTCGAGCAACTTGTTGAAGTATGTGAAGAACTCAACTAGGTTGTCATCTGGTTGAAGGTAGTTTCGGAGGTTGCTGTTACAAGACTCACTCAGCTGTGAGCTTCGCATACCAGCTGTGAAGTGGTCCTTAATCCATGCTGAAGACCACTGTTTTCTCACCTTGTAAATTGAATCCAACCAGTTCCTTGGATTGGTGCCTTCTTCTGGATAATATGTGTCTAGCAACCTTGACCAATTGTACTCAAATTCTTCCTCATTTTCTACTCCAAAAGTGACATATTGTAGATCTTCTAGAATGTTTGTGTTTGTGGTGTCGAGATGCTTCATTGCATTCTGCTTGATATGAAAAGTACACAAGCCATGGAATGCTTCAGGAATGACGGATCTAATCCCAGCGGCGATTGCAGCAGCTTGGTCGGTGAATATTGATGTTGGTCGGCTGCCTGACATACATTTCAAGAATGCATCGAACAACCACTTGAATGTAGCGGTTGTTTCATCATATAGGAGAGCAGCCCCGAAGATGCAAAGTGCACGATGGTGGTTGAAGCCAACAAACAAAGCTGTAAATTAAAAATAAAAAAAAGAACAACATAGAATTAAACATTGAAACAAACAAAGGCTATCTTTTTTTATATATATGGTGTGCTTCAGGACGTTTTTAGTATGGTTTAGGAGGTTTGTGGTATGCATTGCGTAATGTTTGGTTTGCATTCAATTTCGAAATATCAAGAACATTATCTAGTGCAAGGAATCCTTCTTAATGCAAACCACAAACCTTTTAATGCACACCACAAATCTTATAAAACAGACCACAAACCTCACAAAGCAAACCACAACATTTGCGGAAGCAGACCAGAAACCTATTAATGCAAACCACAAACCTCACAAAGGAAACCACAAACCTCACAAAGAAAACCACAAACCTCACAAAGCAAACCACAACATTTGCAAAATCCCACCAGAAACCTCCTAATGCATTATGTAATGTTTGGTATGCATTCAAATTCCAAATCTCAAGAAAATTAACTAGTGCAAGGAATACTGACCTAGTGGACGATAATTCTGGTTTGTCCTGTATGTGGTGTCGAAGCTGATCGTATCTCCGAAGCAACTGTAGTCAAACCGCATTCTTGCATCAGCCCAGAATATACTTGCAATATCTTCGTTACTATCTACCTCAATTTCATAGAAGAATGATGGATTCTTGTAAGCTTCATGGCGAAAATGTTCAAGAAGTATAGTTGCTTCGCCTGGTTTCATTGATTTCTGCCTTGTCCCTGTGATATAGTTCTTCAGATCATGAGGGGTAAAAGGTACATTCTCCCTCCCCCCTGAAGTTGTGGTGAACAACTCATATGATTTCCGTAGTGAAACTCCACAATCTGCATGCACTTTTGCGACCATTGCATGCATTTCTGAGATCCCCTTGTTCGACCTCAAGAGATGTTTGAATTTTGGAGGGAGGAGATCATGGTTGTGTTCTGTTATCCACTTGTCCAGCAGCCATTCATCCTTCTCGATATCATATCTGAATTTGATTATAGCTGGGCAGCCAACTCTAGTTTCTGGTACAGCACGTTGATAAGCCTTCACATCTATTGATCCTTTATTCTTGGGATTTGACTTGCTTGTGGTCTTGTATCCTTCTTTGCTGCAGCAATACCTAGCATATCGTGCTGTTTTGGTTGGCTGTCTTTTTGTAGAACGTTTGACAGCTCCCATGTCCCTCACGCTGAAGCCAAGATCGTGAGCATAGTTCTTGTAGAATTGTTTTGCTTCCTCAATGGTTTTGAATGCCAACCCCAAACTAGTGTAGTCTGACTCGGACCTGTTTGATGTCACACCTGTAAGCAATGATGAAAGAAATGAGCACTTGATCATTTCATCTTGCGATAATTTTTGCTAGAAAAGTGAAAAGTGGTTTGGTTGTAGTTATTCATGATGCTTTTATGACATTTATGGTTTGCATTACAGTGTATGTTTTTTTTTACAAACAGATTGCGGAATGTAACGATTAACGTTTTAATGGTGTGTATTGAAGGTGTTTTGGTGCGTTTAAGAAGTACTGTGGTTTGTTTTTAAAGTGTTTTGGTTGATTGTCTCTTTTTTTACTGTGGTTTGTTTTGGGAAGAATGTGGTGTGTTTGGCGATGCTTTTGGTATCGTTTGTGGGATTTTTGTGGGCGGTTTAATCATTTCATCTTGCAATGATATTTGCTAGAAAAGTGAAAAGTGGTTTGCATTGTAGTTATTCATGATTCTTTTATAACATTTATGGTTTGCATTACAATGTGCTTTTTTTACAAACAGATTGCAGAATGTAACAATTTAGGTTTTAATGGTGTGCATTGGAGGTGTTTTGGTGCGTTTAAGAAGTATTGTGGTTTGTTTCTAAAGTGTTTTGGTTGATAGTCTCTTTTTTTCCTGTGGTTTGTTTTGGGACGAAGGTGGTGTGTTTGGCGATGCTTTTGGTATCGTTTGTGGGATTTTTGTGGGCGGTTTGATTGGTAGTGCTTATGATATGGTAAATGGCTTGTATAAGCGTGATTGTGGTGCTCATTGTAAGAAAACAGGAAGGATTGAGTTGAGTGTACCTTCTTCTTGTTCATTGTTGCCACTGTTGGTGGAAATAGAGGTTTCCAGCTGATATCCAACTTCTGTTGCATTGTCAGAAGATGTTGCAATTTGCAGGAGTTGTTGAGCATCTACAGAACCAACAGAAACTTCATCTACATGATTCTCGTCCATCGTCAATGTCTTAGCTGCGATCAGGAGCTTGCTCAGCCGTCGCCGCCGTTGCTGTAGCTGCTGCGATCAGATCTCGTCGCCGTTGTTGTAGCTGCTGCGATCAGATCTCGTCGCCGCCGTTGCTGTAGCTGCTGCGATCAGATCTCGTCGCCGCCGTTGCTGTAGCAGCTGCGATCAGGATCTCGTCGCCGCCGTTGCTGTAGCTGCTGCGATCAGGCTCCCGTCGCCGCCGTTGCGTCGCCGCCGTTGCAGTAGTTGCGTTGCTCCGATGAGGATTCGTCGCCCTCGTTCAGCCTCGGCGCCGCGCGATTGGACAGAGAAAGAAACGGAGAGAGAAACGAGCTGGAAATTTTCGGACAAAGGAGCTGGAAATTTTCGGACAAAAGGAGCTGCTAATTTTTGGTAGGACAAAACTGCCCTTCCTTTGTATTTTACCCTAGTCAACGCATGAATTTCAAAAGTATGCAGAATGGTGGGTTCCTATTGGTCCACCTATGTTGTTGTTACTATAACAACAAATATGGTGTTGTCACCATATCCGCTCCCGTTTTATAAGGACACCCCAAAAAGAGCTGCGCCGTCTTGGCGCCGGAGACCATGTGGTTGTACATCAACGCCAAATTGAGTCGGATCTGCTCCTCCGGCGTAGATCTGGTTGGATCCAGCTTCTTGAAGTTCAGATCCTCCACGGTGGGCGGGTAATGGGTCGGGTCGCGGCGGTGGTCATTGAACGACCCGTTTAAGTAGAGCTCCGGCAGGGTCATCCCGTCCGGCGAAGCCCAACCCCAAAACGGCAGCGCGAAGGTCTCGTCGCCGATCAGGCTCCCGAGGATCCTCTCGTGGAAGTAGAGGAACATCGGGTGCCAGGGGAAGAATAGCCAGTTCCTATGGACCCGAACCGGGAAATCGGAGCCCTGCTGGAGAAACGACCCGGTACAGTACTGGCAGTGGATTTCGACCTGCCAGGTGAAGCTTCTCGGGTCGGAGTGCGGCAGAGATTTCATGATGGAAAGCGCCTTCTTGTACTTGGCGATGTAGTCGTCGTCGAGTCGGTGGGAGAAGCGGCGGACCCGAATCGGGGTTGTATCCGGGTCGGGGAACTCGAACTCGGATACCGGGTCGTCTAGCATGGTTCGGGGCGGTAGCAGTTGACCAGCTTCCCGGGTCGCCCGATTGCCGGGAGACACGACAATAAGTTGACAACGAGGGGTTGGATATCGATTTTCCCATTCGGACTGGTAGGGACTAACCACCCGGTCAAACCGTCGGGTACAACCCGGTTCAGCTTCCTGAAAGTAAGTAAAGAAGAACAGAGTAATCAGAAACCATGGGGAACGTACCCAAGAATTTGAGTACTGATTGCGGGAGGATCCAAGAAAAGGGAAGCACCGAGAATGCATGTGAGGGTGATGAGTGAGAGAATCCATTTCCGTGGATCCGTGGAATGCAAGGAAGTCGCCATTGACGATCGAGCTATCTCTCTGCTCTGCAAGGAATCTGCAGGTTACACTGTGATCTCTGTTGTCGGTGACTTGCCCATTAATAAGAAGACAATGTTGATGGAGAGAGACAGAGGGAGGGAGATGAATCCATGTGATTCACGAGTCTGCAAATAATTGAGAGCTTAAAAGGCGTGAAATGGAGTATGCGGTGGCGTGGAGAAGGGAGGTGGTGGTTTGAACTCGACCGTACGATGGAGTTTGAGAAGGGACCTGGAGCGGAAGCCGGGTCTCCAGTATGAGGACCCGAAGGTGAAGAGATAATGGCAATGACGAATTTATTGTGTTACAGTAATCCCGTTGTTTTTTCCACTTTACTTCACCAAAGTGATGGGCACTGGACAGGATCAGGGGGCCATCGCTCGTTCAACTTGCATACCAGAGTTAAGAAAATAGAATGATTGGTGAGATGGGCTGATTTATTGCTCGACCTGCACACAGAACTAAAATCATATACTCTTAAGTCTTAACTCTTCTAGCGTTTGCTCCATCTCAGAGAAGATAGCACTGACACAACCATCCCTCGAGTGACTCAAACAGAAACTTATCAATCATCACACGTTGGCTTCGCCTATAATCAATGCATGCATCCTGCAAAACTTCATTTTGTATTGGGTTAACTATCAATGGCCTTGCCACTGCAATAAAGGTAGCATCTTTCTGCAATTCTCTCGCGCTCATTATTAGCTTCATTGGATTTGGCATTCCAAATGTGGATTTCTTCTTCTATTTTCCCAGGGTTCATTGCAGGATGAGAATATTATAGTGGAGGCAGTGAAGCAAGTTGACATAGTGATTTGTTCGATTCCATCAAACAAAGCAGGCAGCTGCATCTAGGTCTGTGTAAATTGTTGTGATCTTCAACAACAGATCACATAGGTAAAGAGGAGGCCTTGATGTCCAGAACACAGCGGACTCCCTAGGTGTGTTAGGTGAGCAAAAAAGCCCACTCGATTCAAGGGAAATGCCCTTTTAACCTTTCCATCCAAGGGGAAACAGAAGAACGACTTCATAAGTTCATAACATAACCCACGAACAATTCTTCAATTCAGAGAACATAGTTTACCCAAAATCTCCCCTGCTCCCCATAAAGTTTTACCGTAATACCAACAGGACCATGTCTAATCTAAATAGATAGAGCCTCACTCCCAGAACAATTTCTCAGCAGAAAAGAGAACACAATGAATAAGCACCTCTATATATACCACCTAATAACGCCAGGCCAGAATCAGCAGCAAAATGATAGTCAAACTCAAACAGCAAGCCGAATCCATACCCTTCCTGCAAGATTAGAAAAGCCATGCACATATATCATCGGTCAAGAGAAAACAGCAACATAAAAGCTAACCAGATAGAAGAAGAAAACATTGTAGGAACTAGAATGTGCAGCCTGCAAACCTCTAAATGCCTATTATCTTCGATCTGTTTTCCCGATGGAGCGCTTCCCAGAGAACAGGTGCTTCGGTCTAAGCGTCGGGATAACTCTATCTGCCTCACCACGCCGAGCATCCTTGTTCCTCTTCTTGGTAGCATTCCTGGCCATTGTAACAGCTTTCATCTTCTGAGCAGAGTCCTTGAACCCTTCTCCAGGTACAACCTCCCCAAGAGGCCGCTGAGGCAACACTGATCTTGACCTCGATCTCAGCCTCAGCTTCTTCTTGTTATCCAGACCACCATCGATCTCCATTTCATCCTCACCATCCCCACCATCAGACCTCTCTCTCTTCCTTCCTTTCCTGGAGACAGACCTGCTCCTAGCACGTTCGATAGCACGAGAAGGATCGATCCCCAAGCTTGACAGCTGCCTTCCCATTCTCTCAGTAGTGAATTTCCTGTCCTTGTCAAATTTCCTAGGCACAGTTGGCCGACTTTCTGCAGTGCTCTTCTTGATCCTATGCTTTTGGATCAACAGCTTCTTCCTCTTCCTGATTTCTTGCAGGTCTTTTTCAGCCTCGGCAGTAAAATCTTCATCCTCCATCTCAAAGTCACCACCATCTTCCTCCACTGCTGTTTCTTCACGTTCCAGCTCCTCAACCCTCTGCAAGATATCCGGATCAATGAAATCATACACATTATGGCCATCGAGGAACTCGGGCAATATGTCCAGCTTCCAATCGTCATCCGCTAGAATGTAGTGCTTCCTCAAGCTGGCAGAGTACACACCAGCACCACCATTCTCATTTTCGATATCCTTCTCGGTTTTTCTGTCCTCGTGTGCTGCCTCTTCTGCTCTGGCTTCCAAAACTGCTTGGGGTATGCAGACTGGCCTCTCCTTTTGGTCACGCGGCTTTGGCATTGCTACATGGAAGCGATTCAACACGGTAGGCATCTTCTTGGATTTCATCTTACGCTCCGATCGCTGATCCAGCAGCCTCTGGCAAGCTGCATTCTTTACTGCCATCACGCCTTCATCGGTTATCGTGCTCATGGTCAGGAGCACATCCTTGTCATTAGCAGCTTCACCTCCTTGACCAGGGATAGTCTTCAGTGCTGCGGATTTCATCTCCATGACAAGCTTCAGGTCTTCTCCACTCAGTCCTTCCAGGGTCTGCAAATCTGTTTTGTTGCAGACAATGAGCACAGGGTTGTTCCTGAACATCATCTTGATGCTGTGGAATAATGCTGCTTGTTGAGAGATGTTGTAGCCACACGAGCCCGATAGGTCCAAGAAGAACAAGATAGCAGCATGGAGATTCACGAGAGCTGTAACGCTGCACATCTCGATGATGTTCCTATCCTCAAGAGGCCTGTCCAAGAGCCCCGGTGTATCGATCACCTGATACCTCAGGTACTTGTAGTCCGTATGCCCCACAAAGAGCGATTTTGTGGTGAAAGCATATGGCTGGACCTCCACATCAGCCCTGGTGATCTTGTTCAAGAAAGAGCTCTTCCCAACATTGGGGCACCCACAAATCAAGATCGTTGGAGCGCCCGTGTTGATCGAGGGAAGCCTCGCCATGTGCTGCCTGACATGTTCGAGGTAAGCCAAGCTCGGCCCAATGCGCTTGGTCACAGTACACATTCGGCCAAGTGCTGCAAGCTTCAATGACTTGCACCGGTAGAGCGAGTCGCCATATTTCAAGAGCTTCACATAGTCTTCACGTATCCTCTTGATGAGATTTCTTGCTGTGTTGAGCTGCCCAAGTGCGAGTTTGTAGTGATCCTTGTTGTAGAGGACGTGAAGGAGGTCGTCGTAAAAGGGATGGATATCTTCTACTCGAGGGAAATCCTCAATGGTTTTCGAGAGCTTATCAGTGAAGTTGGTTTCGGTGAACTTCACCTTTCGCATGTAGAACTGGCGGACGCGGGAAATTGCATTCCCCTTGTGGATCACCGTAGGGGTCTGGCGCTGAGTGCGAGAGAGAACGATGTCGATCAAGTGGTTCCCACTTGGGACGACAGTGATCTTCTTGAAATCGTATTGAGCCATTTATCTGTAACAAGCAGAATGGATTTCAACCAACATGGCATCGAACAGACATATATGATTTCATTGAAACAAACATAGAATTATGGCACCTAAACTGCACCCTAGCTTTAGGATCTTATTCATAAGAACATCAATCAACAAAATACTTGAAACCAACCAGATTGAAAGCAAATAACAAATTTCACACAACCGGTAACCTTATACTTTCACCATGAACACATCCAAACGTAACACTTTGCTCGATGAAACAAGAAAACAATACAGAGCTTTCTCGTACAAATTCAATGGCAGCCGACTTAAAGATATATGAAGCATGGAGTCAGTAACTATCAACATATGACCTCGGGAAAAATTTGACCTCGACAAACATTTGACATCTCAACTCAGCAATCATCATCCTTTGGCAAGAAAGACACATCTGTGCAATTACTTTTCCATTCAAAAGTCTAGAAGAATCCTCCATACCTCACAGAGGAGAAGCAGCCGCAGCCTAGAAGATCTCCGGACCTTGGAAGGCTTCTCGGCAATGCAACACCGCAACAGCAGCCTCAAGCCGAGGTAAAGGAGGAGCGGTAACGACGAAGAGGAGAATCAGGGGAATCCGGGAATGGCGGGATTTCGTTCCCTTGCCGGCCGAGCAGGGGACTCCGGGAAGGCGGGAGTCGACGAGAGGTAGAGGCGGGCGAGAGTCGCCGAGAGGTGGAGGCCGGACCTGCGAAACGCGAGTCAGGTTTGGGTCTAGGAAACTGGGAGTCTGGGACTGAGTGCGGCGGGTCGACGAAGGAGTCACCGAGAGGAGCAAGGGGATGGCGGCGGAGAGGAGCAGTGGGGATGGCGGCGGAGAGGGAAAGGAGTAGTAGGGCGGTCGGCGACGGTCGCGAAGGAGGGTGGAGGCGGGGAGTCGTGCGATTCAGAGAGAATTGGAGGGGCGGAGGGGAGGAGCGTCTGGGAGATTGGGGGTGATTAGAAACCCTATTTTAAAATATATATGACTGAATTGTCCTTCACTCAACAAACTAAATTAAAAATTACCAGAATAAAAAAAGAACAAAAATAGCAAGGATGAGTCATTACTCATTACTGAACTAGTAACAGAGCAAAATACGGATTGGTAAAGTCTCAATGGCCCATTGGAACAACTACTCTCCTCTGTGTGTCGCCTGAATAACCCTGCCGCCGAAATCAACTCCCACCGCATCAATCCATTTTTTCCATTGCCGGAATCCACTCCTGGCCTTCGTATGTCCCAGGCGCACGTTTCCCTTTCCCTGCTGCTATGACCATAACCGTGACCTTGATGAAGACGTTCGACGGTGGAAATCGACGATGGCTTGGTTGCCGACAATGGGAATCAATGGCGGTCGAGCGGCAGCGGATATGATACCTTTTCCGTGCTGCGATTACCAGAACAGTGATATTGATGAAGGCTGCCGCTGATGGGAATCGTCGACGGTTGGCAGCCGACAGGGACAATCAATGGCCGATGGGCGACGGCGGGTAATGGATGCGAGCGTGGGTCTAGCTTTTCAGTATTAATTAAAATAAAATATTTCTTAAAAATAAAAATAGAACAAGGATAAAATAATGATTTTACCATCCAGTTAAGTTAGGGCGATTATAAAAATATTAGGGGATGTTTACTATTTAGCAATCCTCATTAGAAAATGTTAGTTCAGCGTGTCTTAGGGTTTAGGATTAGGGGTGTGGCCAGGTATCTACAGGGCGGGTACCCAAACCCGAATCCGCCCCAACCCGCACTACAAGACAACAGGTTTAAACCCGAACCCGACCCGAACCCGGCAACACGAATTTTATCCGCTTTGATTGGGTTGGGCCGGGCCGGGTATCCGCGGGTTTGAGTTTCATTGTCATCCCTAATGGCGAAAGATATCTCAGAGGGCCAAACCGTTTTTTTCTGCGATTTAAGGGAGTGGGAGTGGGAGCGGAAGAGAGAACTTGGGCTTCATTAGGGTTTACAAGTTTGGAGCTGTCGCGCATAAAAAAATAGGGCCATTTAGTCTTATTCATGCCGGTTAGGCCCATACTCCATTTTTTCCCTCAATAATTAGCCATTCTCATTAAGCCCACTGTACAAAGCCAGCTCGAAAAAACCAGAGGGTGCTAACACCACACCACCAGAGCAAGAAACCAGAGGGTGCTAACACCCCGAATTCTTTCAAACCTCAACCGAATTCGAAACTAATTATAATTCGGTTCGGTTCGATTTTTCACACAAAACCGAATTTGTGAAACTACTTGTATCTTCTCACTTTTAAGTTATTTTTCACCCCTAATATAAACAATAAATATGCAATTATATGCATCATCAATGATAAAATCAAATTTTCAACACATAAGTCATAAAATATTTCAAATATTTAAGTCTAAAAACAAATACAAACATAAAAATTCACCATTTGGAGCTTGCAATTATAGTATTTCGGTTTTTCGATCGGAAATTCGGTTTGGTTGAAAGAACCCTGATTTCCTTACTATCCATATTTTCCTTCCAAATTCCGAACCGAATAGCATTAATTCGGTTTTGATTCGGTTTAATTTAGTTTCGGTTTTTATTTCGGTTCGGGTTTATCGAACCGGTTGCTCACCCCTAGCAAGCAGGCTAGCAAAATCCACCAAAACACCTACTATCTGTAATGAATGTAACAATTAAACAATCAGCAGTCATCTGTTTGCCCCCAAAAACTCTGTTATAGCGCTCTCTCCTGATGGCAGCAAGTAACCAACACCAACAAAATCCAACAACTTGGCTTTTAATCCATGAGGAACCAGCAAGATTGACAACAGCAGCTAACCAATCTTCCAATCAAGAACTATTAGGCATGCCTCTCATCACCTCCCCAGCAACCTGCTTAGAATAAACACATTCAAAAAAGAGATGTGCCTTTGAGTCATTCCCATCAGAACACAATACACAAGATGGATCAATGGTTCTTCCCCAGACAATCAACCTGTCTCATGTGATAATTCTATCCTTCATTATGAGCCAAGACAGAAACCTGTTACTAGGGACGTTATACTTTGTCCATACTAGTTTCCACCATGATGCAATAGGATGCTTAGTTCATAGCGAATCCCAGATCTTCTTAATCCTGTACTTCTCCATCAAACAGCCTTCCCATGAAACAAACCCTCTTCCTTCCTGAATCAATCGAAATTGAAACCAAGATCAGAGCTTAAAGCTTCTTTCAGATCCAAGAGCCCTCTTGAGATGCTTTAAGTTCCCACTAAGAGTTCCCTTTGATTTTATACTTATGTGCCCAGGCCACCTAAAAAGATCCTCCTAGCATAAGAAGTAGCCATAATAGTTTCCCAGCAGAGGCTATGTTCCAGATTACCATATCCTTAAGTCCCAAACCACCTTCCTTTTTAGGGATAGTGATCAAATCCCAAGCAACTTTTGCCCTGCCTGATTCAGTGCCATGCCACAAAAAATCTGAACAGAGCTTCTGGACTTGCTTAATAATTTTCTTGGGCAAAATAAAAACTCGCAACCAGTATTGGAAAATAGGATAGATAACAGATGAGATCAGCTCAAGGTGACCAGCATAAGAAAACTTGCCAGACCCCCAGGAACGAATCTTACTGATTATCTTGTCAATCAACAAATCACATTCTCTAGCGGAGAGTTTACCAGCTATAAGAGGGAGTCCTTAATATCTTACAGGTAATTGCCCTTCTTTAAAGCCAGTAAGGGAAAGAGCTAGATCTATGGCTTGTTTAGAAGTACCTCCAAAATATACTGCACATTTGTCCGGGTTACATCTAAGGCCAGATATTGAATAAAACTTGTCCAACACCCTTCTGATGCAGACAAGAGCCCAGCCAGAACCCTCAGAAAAGATCAAAAGATCATCTGCAAAGCATATGCCTATTGCTTTGCATTGGGGATGAAAAGGCAACTGGTCCATTTGAGCTACTTTATTCAACATAAGAGAGAGAACTTCTATGACTAAAGTGAAGAGATAGGGGGATAGAGGATCACCCTGTCTCACCCCTTTGCAAGCTGGGAAAAAACTATAGAGCCCTCCATTCACACTGACACTGAAATATGCTGAGGACAAGCAAACTTGAATTCAGTCTATGAAAGTTTTAGGAAAGTTCATTGCTCCCATAACATAGAATAAAAAACCCCAGTGTACAGAGTCGAAGGCTTTCATAAGATACACCTTGACTACACATCTAGAACTAATATTCTTATGGTGATATTTGGAAACCATTTCTTGAGCCATCAAGATATTTTCAGTGATATTACGCCCACGTATAAAGGCTTATTGGTTTCTGCTAATAAGACTAGGAAAAACAGCTTGCAATCAATTTGCTAAAACCTTGGAGATGATCTTGTATACCACATTAATGCATGTTATTGTTCTATATTCATACGACAAGCATTCTGGACCTTAGGGACTAGAGTAAGAGAAGCAAAGTTCAAACCTTTAGGGATGATCCCTGTAGCAAAGAACTCTAAGATTCCAGCTGTGAAATCCTCCCCAACTACATTCCATGTCTTCTGATAAAATCCTGGGGACCAGCCATCAGGACCAGGTGCTTTATCAGGCTTCATTGAGAATAAGGCTGTTTTAACTTCAGCAGCTGAGACTGGCGAGCATAATCCGTCACCCTATGCTGTTGTTAATCAGAGAGTAAAAAAGTGCCAGGTCAGGTTTAACCTCGGGATTAACAACCCCATACAACTTCTTATAAAACTAAACTGCTTCCTCAGCAATGCTCTCAATATTATCTAGCACTTCACCAGATTCTAGGGTTAGCTCCTGAATCACTTTCCTTGCTTGACGAAGTTTCATAGACAAATGGAAATTTTTTGTATTAGAATCGCCTAGAGAAAGCCATTTCACTCTGGATTTCTGCCTGTAAAAACTCTCTTCTGCACTCTTCAGTTGAAATAACTCAATAGCCAGACTCTGTTCTAGTGAAAAATTTGTTTCTGATGGTGCAGTCAAAGAAGCTATCTGAGCTTGCCTATACCCATGTGCTGCCTCCTTAACTTTACCGCTAATATCAACAAAATTCTCCTTATTCAACTTCTTCAGCTCCTGCTTGGAAGATAACTGCTTCATCTTCAAAGTGTATAGCTTCGAACCCTCTGCAGTTGCATTCCATGCTCTCTTCATAAGGTCCATATAAGATGGATGTGCAATCCACATGTCAAAGAAGCGAAAAGGTTTTGGAAAAGTTTTTATAGGAAGGACTGGCTTAACAAGCATACCACAATGATCTGAAAAATCAGGAGGAAGAAACTCCACTGCACAAGAGGGAAAAGCAGAATACCAATCTGAGTTGACTAATACTCTATCTAGTTTTTTTGGCAATGGGGTTTGCTACATGTCTGTTAGTCCACGAAAACCATGAACCTGAGAATCTATGGTCGTCCAGCTCCATATTGTGAACCCAATTCCTCAAGTCAACCATGCTGGAATTAATACCCACTAAGTTAAAAGGCTCGTTCGGATTTAATATAACGTTGAAATCTCCAGCTACCAACCAAGGAAAGCCACGAATAGCAAAAGGAGAGAGAGCAGAATACATAGTAGCCCTCTCCCTTTCCTCATTTGAGCCATAGATTGTTGTAAAGAAAAAGCTAACCTTATTATTTGCTCTTACTAGCATATGCATAAAATCAGCCCCATCACTAATTTTCACCACTTGCAACCCTTTCCTCCAGAAAAACCAAATCCTTCCTAATGGTGCATGATTATAGTTTGGTAAAATCTCATAATCAGCAAATTTTGCAATAATCTCAGCTGAATTACCAACTTGAACTCGAGTTTCGAGTATAGCACCAAACTCCACCTTGTATCTACCTAAGTAATCAAGCACATAAGTGTGCTTGGAGGGGTTATTAAAACCCCTCGAGTTCCAAATAAGGCAATTCATTTTGAAGGAAGGGGCTTATTACCCCTACCCTTACCACCTTGACCACCCTTTCCTTTCTTCTGACCTTGCACCACAGGCTGTAAAATGACATAC